GAAACTTCGTTCCAAACATTTCGTCTAATCTTAACGTTCGAAGTTCAATAAAATTGCGAAAGAAAAAAAACGAAGCGAATGAAAATCTCGAAACAGAAAGTTTCAAGAGGCCGTTGCAAAGAGAACATTTCGATTTTTAAAATAATGGTGAATCAAGCTGCGAGAAACATTTTCCAACGGTTTCCACGGCTGTTTGAATTTTCACGATTTTTCAGAATAGAAATTCTGTCGGGAAAACTGTAGAAATTATTTTTGGGTAAAACGAACTTAAGAAAGGTCAAAGTGGAAGCTTTACGCTTTGAAACGAGGCGAAGCAGTAGATGCTTACGTGATTTCCCTTTACGAAGTTTCTGAATTGTAAGTTCAAAGTATCGACAATTTTTCATCGTTACGCGTCCAGTTACATCATCTTTATGCCAGTCTCGAATAACTCGCGTCAACCGTGTAAAAATCACGGGGTACGAGCCGCGAGCTTGGTATATCTGCGACTATTATCCGACGTTCCGCCAGTTGACGATAGTTTTCGAACAAAGCCCGAGCCGTTCGGAGTTTTTATCGCAGCGACTGCGGGACGATACTTACAATTCATGTCGACGTAAACGGTGGAGGAGAGCGGGATGGACCTATTGTTATTCGTTGCGTTGCAGGTTAGCATCGAGCGGACGTCGTTCCGTCCTAAATTTTTTACAACGAGCTCGTTGCGCGTCACGCCGTTCCTCACGGTTACGGTTTTGTTGCTGACGAGCTTGTCGTCACGGTGCCAGGACACCGTCGGCGCTGGCTTACCTGTGGAAAAACGCATCACTTCTGTTTTTCACGCAATTTTCAAACTATCTCCTGAATCCCTTCGCCGCTCGTTCGCAACCGAGAATTTCCGCCCGGTCGGTAACGCTTTGATGCGTGCCGATGAATTTCCGTTTATTTCCAGGACTTTCCTTCATCGACGATTCTCCTTCTCGTCAAACAGAGTATGCACAGACCAGGTATATGAAGAAACGTACAAATGTATTTTTCTGGCCAATGATCGATCCTAGGACCCCTTGCCATTTTCTTGTTGTACCGATTCAGGCAGGTTTTGCACCGCAGCGCTACCAGCGGCGAGAATTAAAATTAAAACATATGAACAGTGTTGCCAGATCTGTTTCGAGAATTATTTATTGAATTGATTGAATGTGGTGGTGTTAATCATCTTTGAAAGAGTGACTGATGGAAATTAGGATGAGAAGTTTAAAGTCTTCTAAAGTCTTAGAAATAATTGGCTGAAATATATTTGTACGAATAACATAACTAGATATGATATGATTTACTAGATATGAATTACCTTTATCCGACAATCTCGCCTGTGATGCATACATAGAGTTCGTTCGTTTTATTATCGTGTACCAGATTTGGAAAAATCGTTTACATTGCGGAATAGGTGGCGAGGGGTGCGCAATATCGCGAAATTTAAAATAATAACTACCGATGATTCTTCACGGTAACTCCAGTGGTTATTCTATGGTTTGTAAATCGTGCTTAATGACTGTTTACAGCGACCGCGCATGAAAATGATATTATCCTGATTACATACGCTCCACGGTTTCTTCATACTAGTATCTTCGAATCTCTCGAGATTAGAGCTACCTTTACCAAGGCACACAGCGCTCGTAAATACTATAATCGAATTAATTTGCTTCGTGCGCTCTTCAATTACACCGACAATTTTTTTCCCCTCTCGAGTATTAAGTACCGAGAGTGCGAGAGTCTCAGACCGTCTACCTTGCTTTGGATACCTTCGTTCGCGGCCCTCTTGAACAGTTTAAAATTCAAAAATTCCTTCTCGCGTCGGTGTTCGGGCAAACAGGCGATCGTTTAGAATCGCCGTTCCGGCCGAAGGGAAGGAATTGCCAAGCGTATCTGAAAGGGAACGTAGTCAAAGAAGGAACGGCCTTTGCGAGAGTATTCATTATCTCCAATTAAACAGCATGGCCCCGCGGCCGTCTGTTTCTTAGACTTAATCCCTCCTTTTAAGGAGCAACGATGAAATTACCTTGTTAGACACGATCGTCTCACTGCTTACGAACGCTTCTATTTTTACATTTAGGGACAATTAAAATTTCATCAAATGAGATTCGTCTCTCAACTTTTATGTGGCAGATGGTTCAAAGACCTTGGTACTGTGTCCGTTTGTCTGTGTTTGAAGGAAGGCAAGCAACGTATAAATAGCGATGAGATAATGAATTTCTAGACTAGTGGCCAACATTCACTGTCACGTGCACGAACGTAACGTTACGTCACGAACGTAAATCCCGTTGCGAACGAGGCCTCAACGATCCACGAAAAGCCGAGGCGTTGGTTTTTGGAATAGCTCCTCTCGACCACGGCTGCGATGTGGACGTTACACGTCGTACTCACCGCCGTACACGTCGCAGAAGAGCCGCAGAGTGTCGCCCTCCACGTACGGGCCCACCATAGAGTTCCGTGCGATCCCGGAGTCGTCGACGATCACGATTTTGTGCGGCGGAACTGCAACACGCAAGAAACGGAATTAAGAAATTTATTATGGCCACGCTGTGCCACGAAATTTCCTCGTAGCAATCTGTCTTAATTCTAATTATAATTGTAGCTATGGCGAGTGTGTAGAAGATATTGCAGACATTCCAATATTCTACGATATATTCGTCTTTCGTAGCTTTTGTAAAATTGATTCGAAGGTGATGTATTGGTTAATATTGTTTACTAGCTCCTGCTTCAGTGAATAAACATTCGCGATTGTAATAAATAGACTATAGATTTTGACCATTTTTGATCATTAGTCATTATAGCTTTAATCATTGTAAACTATGGTTAGTCGTGGTCTACTGGATTAATATTTCTCTACAAATTAACTAATCTTTGTGCATTGTTCATAAAAATTCACGACTATCACAATAATCAATAGACTATGGATTTCTTTTGAAGTCTGTCGCAGTCAACTTGTGCATACACAAAGTGCCTTTCAATTTCAGTTCATCAGCCGATGAGATATTTTATATTTAAATTGTCCAGTTTCCCTATATTAAACGTAACGCAACGCGCAAGAAACAAAAAGAAATAGAGAAATTTACTTGTAGTAGCTTTGATTTGTTTTAAACGTGACTAATATAATTGTGGCAGTCGAGTGTGTAGCCCAGAATTTCTAAGTTTAAAAAAACTGCAGTGGTATCCAGAGGTTGTAGAAAACACGTGACTGGTCATAGTAACGTTCGGAATTTAAAAATTTCGAGTACCCCAACTGAGAGAAATCCCCAGTGCAATATGAGTGCGAGAGAGAAAGAGAAGAAATGGTCAACGAGGGTGTAGACTGAGAAAAAGTGGAGAACAGGGTGGATTTAATCGTCGAGTGGATTGAATAGACAGCGTGTAGTATAATCCGTCTAGCTCAGCTGAACTGAGTATAATCTTAACCGTATATTAAGTCAGATATTTATTTTAGCTTATTTTACACTCAGCACTTGATTGTCTAACCTCTAAATCCGACGGAATTAACAGATACAACTATTTACAGAACTCTAAGCTTCATTCACGATCTTCCTTCATTTTCGCAAATCTGTATTTAATCACTGTAATTGTGGAAGTCGCCTCGTTGATCCTGGCTATTGCCATCTACAATGTTCGAAAGATTCAAGCATAGTTTCAGATAGAAAACTACAGATTTTGACTACTGACTTATTTATTGACCAATGCGTGTGTGTGTGTGTGTGTGTGTAACGCAGTTTTTCTAATTTTTGGTTGCTTTGTTACGATCTGAGTGATTGAGCGATTCTATAATAATAAATAAATAAACACTTTGTGTACGATTGAGGGATTCTCTAATTCCTGGGCTCACTTTGACAAACTCTGACTGACTCTGATCTCAGTGATTTATTCTAGGATTTTGGTCTTCTTAAGCGACTGACCCTTCCTCCGAGTCCTTTTTTGCTTTCTTCTCAAAATATCCTTCTCCCTAAGAAGGGAGAGCAAGTCACACGAGGGTTGAAAGTCCTGTTCACCCGTGGGATCTTCCCCGGTGATGTTGAAAACTGTCGAAGAACTCGTCACTGTCATATCGTACTTGAGATCGAGCGAAGTCTACAGGACAGAGTAACGCTATTGCAAAAAAGAACTGAGACCAATCTTGAAACATGGAAGTAAACATGTTACGCAGATGTCACTCTCGCTCGAGATCGATTGTCAAAAATCTCGACGTACAGAATCACGCGGAAAATTCTAATAGCCGAAACACGGCGACGTCGAAACCGTCGGAACCGATCCAAAAATCTCACGAACCTCGAGTCGAATCGACTGGGTCTCCCAACTGGGGGGTATTGCCCCAGATTACAAGTAGACTCGCGTTCTAAGGGCATCGGAATCGCGAGCAGAGTCACCCGTACGGTTCGAAGATCGCGCGAGCCGCGTCTGGCAGTCGCAAGACGGAAGCCATCGTCGTCGTCGAACGGAGACCGATAACGCGAAATTGGTATTGGAAGATCGTGGTTCGGATACCGCGACGCCATTAAATTGGAATCTGAAATCGATACGACGCGTACTTCTGCGCCTCTCCTCTCTCTCCCTCTCTCCCCCCTCTCGTTAGTTGTGCATGGAAGAAAAAAGGAGAGACGATCCGACGTTGGCCGACGATATCGCGAGCGCGGGATAATTGAAAAATTACCATCGGCAAAGTCGATCCACGCTGTCGTGTGTTGTCGTTCGTTCTCGTTGACGAACATCGGTGGCTCGTGGATCGCGGCGACGTTAACCCTGTGATTGTGATAAACGACACAGGTGAAACAGGCCATTTATCGGCATTAGCCTTTACTGCATCATAGTTCGTCGCGCGTTGTGCATTATACGCCGGTGTGCAAACCCTTACATCGTTTACCTCGCTGGTAATCATTAATGCAATACTAATCTGCAAAGCATACCGTGTGCTTAATAATTGAACGTGGACGCCATATCTCTATGAAGAAGAAATATTCTTTTTGTGAAAAATTTTCCACAGATCGAAAGTACATCTGAAATACTCGATTAATAACGTGTCTAATCTCCGGCACTATTATTTGGACGTGACTTGGACGTACTTTCTTTGGGAATTCACGGTGAGGATGATGATTTGCTAGGCGTGTTAATTGTGTGTTAACTATTTTACTGACAGCCGGCCCCAAATAGGCTAAACTCTCTTTGTCATCATTGCCGATCGTGATCGGTAAAGCGTTTTATGGCAAGCTCAGTCCCATAATTCAGAGTAATTTTTAACAATTAATTTATGGGGCTAACGTTACCGCGTCCCGGAAATGCGGCTCTCCCACTTACGTTTATTGCCCTGGAAATAAGTAGGACAAGGCCACAGGGACGCATCGCCTACAACGATTTTCTGATTAGCTCGTAAATTGGAAATCAACGGAGCTCTAATTTCGATATCTACGACGGAAGATAATACTTGTGACAGAGCGTAATGCGACAAATAATTCGGTCTGAAAGTTTCGCACGACGCCGCGTACATCTTTGAGATTAACACTATATGTACTTCTCGATGAAATATGACGTACAACGATAATGTAACTCTTGGTCCTCGTCTTCGAACGCGGCGACACATCGTCGCACGCCAAGTTTTATCGGGCATTGCTGACCAAAATGCTATCAATTCGATGGCTCCTGGTTATTTATTTGGCAGCGAGGAATCGTTGCTGCAGTTTGACCATATCTCCTGGCAGCGGAATTAAGGAATTTAGATCATTGGAGAGACAGCAAGTCACTCCGCGAGACGAAATAAATATACATACATACACTCGAGTTTTACAGTTT